GACCTTCAAGCCACCTGCTATACTTCAGAAAGTCTGAGATCTTCATTCCCCTCGACACATCGTCAGCTGGATTGTCCTTGGAACTGACATGTCTCCACTGTGAGGGCTCAGACGTTTCTCTGATGGTCGAGATTCTGTTGGCCACAAACGTGTGAAAGCGCCTGTCCTCATTGTTAAGGTTGTTAAGGTTTGTCAATCCAAAACACTGAATCCTCCAACTGGAAATTCAACTCTGCCTTTAACATCAAGTCCACTCTGACAGCAAGGCCGGCTGCTGACAACTCGAGTCGAGGAATAGTTACAGCCTTTAGTGGTGTCACTCTGGCTTTGCCGAGCAAAAAGGTGACCTGGATGCGGTTTTCCTGATTTAATATCCGGATGTATGTTACAGTTCCGTACCCATCTGTGCTGGCATCAGCAAAGTGATGTAGTTGGGCTTGTCTGACCTCTCCAAAATCCACTGACTTAACGCACCTGTCCGCATTGAATGCAGCCAGCAGATTCAAATCCTTCAACCACTTTTTCCATGGGTGTAAGATGTCTTGTGGTAAAGCATCATCCCAGCCACATCCTCTCCTACAGAGTTCTTGCTGCATAATTTTGGCCAGCAAAGTGACTGGTGCCAGGAACCCCAGAGGATCATACACTGAGCTGGTAACTGACAGCATACCACATCTGGTGTGAGACTGTTGTTTTAACTCCATCTTGAATCTGAAAGAGTCAGTCTCCACACACCACTGCAGACCCAGAGCTCTTTCCACTGGAAGAGGGTCTCGGTGCAAATCCAACTCCCTTAAGTCCTTGGCCCTTTGATCCTCTGCAATGGCTGGCAAAACAACACGACTACTGCTGATCCATTTTTGCAAGTTAAAGCCCCCCTTTCGTCACAGAGCAATGAGATCTCTTATCATCTGGATAGCTTCTCCTTCAGTAGCTGAGCTCTTCAAACAGTCATCCACGTAGAAATTCTGCTTGACAGATTGTGATACTTCAGTCGCAAACTCAGACTGGTTATCCTCAGCAGTTTTTCTCAATGCATAGCTTGCACAACTGGGTGATGACACAGACCCAAAGAGGTGTACAGTCATTCTATATTCAATCAGGTCCTTCGTGACATCTCCATCTGGCCACCAGAGAAAACAAAGAAAATCTCTGTCCTCTTCAGCCACATTCAGCTGGTGGAACATAGCTTGAATGTCACCCATGAATGCAACAGGTTCCCGTCTGAAACGAGTAAGAACGCCAAGGAGTGAGCTTGTGAGGTTAGGACCCTGCAAGAGTTCACTATTCAATGATGCTCCTTGGAACGTGGCTCCAGAGTCGAACACCACTCGGAGGGATCCCTTCCTTGGATGGTGGACGCCATGATGGGGAATGTACCACACCTTCCCTTTCCCGCAATGCAGTTCTTGCGGAGGCAATTGCTCTGCATAGGCTTTACTGATGAGCGTAGTCATGTACCCTGCATACTCCTGGTGTAAATACTTATTGTTAAGAAATATTTTTCTCAAACCCTGAATCTTTTGTTTATTTATTAAGTTATTGGGCAGATAGACCTCTTGGTTCCTGAAGGGCAACTTCAAACAATATTTCCCATCCTGAAGTACTGATGAGCGCTCCATGGTTTCCAGAAACTTGAGGTCTTCTCTGGACATTTCCTTTTCCTCAGCCTTTTCATTGAATTCGTGATTGTACTGATTGGTCAGCATTTTTTCCAGTTTGCAAACAGTTATCCTGTTCACCGTAGCAGAGGAAGTCTCTGCCCCTAAAGCACCACTGTTTCCATTCAGCGGACCACTAACAACCCATCCTAGCACTGTCCTGATAGCGTACGGGCCATTTCCACGGCTGTTGATGACCTCCCAAGGGTCCAATATCTTGGGAGCATCAATTCCAATCAAAAGGTCCACGCTTGGCTTTATGCTTGGGATGTGTACTTTTGACAAATACGGCCAGTTAGTGAGTTCTTCAGGAGTCACCATGTTATCAGCAGTGACTGGCATGTTCCTCTGGGTTAGAACATCTGGTAAAGTATAAAAATCATCACTGTCCAGACCAGATATCTGCAAACCACTCAAGGTGTACGCTGGAACAATCGTTTCCTGCCCCATTGTCTGTAGCAAGAAGTTGGTTCTTTTGCCTGTAATATTCAGCTTCTGCATTAGATGTTCATTTGAGATATCACTTCTCTCATTTCTGCATTTCAGATTCATACTCTTGGAAATGACGGTAACACAGTGAAATTAGTTCAATTTAATTTCTTCATAAAAAGAATATTAAACTGACAAATCTTTAGTCAAAAAAGTAAAACAATAAAATGACATATGAATACAATAAATGACATATCAACTATATGCAGATGGCTTGTAATGACAGGAAAAGCACAGGTGTAATTAGTGGACACCGGTATATTTCAGAATCAGAATCAGAACCGTTTAATTGTCAAAGTATGTTGCACATACAAGGAATTTGACATAGTGGATAGTGCATAATATTAAACAATCAACACAGTGCAAAAAATAGAAACATTAAAATTTACAATAAAATATAAAATATAGTGCACAGACAAACAGATAACAGTACTTTAAACAAGTATAATGTAAGTGTGATGTAAACGTGTCAAGTGTATTTAAATATAGAAACATAGAAGGGATGTGCAGGGGAGTGTACCGGTAGGAAATTGTCCTGGGATGACAGAGTAAGTGGGGGTCCCGGGCTTTGTTGATGAACCCGAAGATGGGAAAAAAACTGTTCAAGTGGCCTGAGGTCTTGGTCCTGATGGACCGCAGCCTCCTAACAGACGGAAGGGAATCGAACAGTTTATGTCCAGGATGACAGGGGTCGGCTACAATCCTTCTTGCTCGCTTCAGGGTCCTTGAAGCGAACAAGCAAATAAGTCTTGGAGGGACGGCAGATTGCAGCCAATCACCCTCTCAGCAGAGCGAATGATGCGCTGCAGTCTGCTCTTGTCCTTGGCTGTGGCTGCAGCGTACCAGACTGTGATGGAGGAGCAGAGGATGGACTCAATGATGGCTGTGTAGAAGTGCACCATCATTGTCTTTGGCATGTTGAATTTCTTCAGCTGCCTCAGGAAGTACATCCTCTGCTGAGCCTTCTTGGTGATGGAGCTGATGTTCAGCTCCCACTTGAGGTCCTGGGTTATGATGAAGCCCAGGAAGGACTCCACAGCATTGATGGGGGAGTCACACAGGGTGATAGGGGCAGGTGTGGCTGCGGTCTTGCAGAAATCCACAACCATCTCCACTGTCTTTAGAGCGTTGAGTTCTAGGTTGTTCAGACACAAGGTCACCACATGGACAATCTCCCACCTGTAGGCGGACTCATCCCCAACAGAGATGAGTCCAATGAGGGTGGTGTCATCCGCAAACTTCAGGAGCTTGATGGACTGGTGACTGACTGATGGGTGGTACAGAGGCATGGGCTCCTGCTGGACTGGGGGAGGGGGACCTGGTGGTCTGGAGCTGGTGGATGGGGCCATGGGGGATGGCGTCCGGACTGTCCCATTGTCTTTCAAAGCGACAGTAGAACTTGTTCAGCTCGTCTGTAGGTAATTCAGAGTGGGGGCTTTAGGCTTGTAGTTGGTGATCTGTCTGAGACCTCTCCAGACAGAAGCAGAGTCACTTGCTGAGAGCTGGTGTTGCAGTTTCTCACAGTACTGTCGTTTAGCGTCTCCCAACCTGTATTTTGCCTCTTTGTACATGTCCCTGTCCCCACTCCTAAATGCCTGGTCCTTGTGCAGCCTTAGCTGTCTGAGTTCGGCTGTAAACCTGGGTTTGTCGTTGTTATAACTCACCCTGGTGTTGGAACACAGCTGTCTTCACAGAAGCTGATGTATGACGTCACAACATCTGTGTACTCATCCAGACTGTTGGTAGCAGTCCTGAAAACATCCCAGTCTTAAGCCCGCTTTGTATCTATTATTCTATTCAGCTTTTGTACTCATCAAACCATTCAGTTAGCTCTTCAAACATCTGCATTATTTATGTTTCTACACGCACGCACTGACGCAGACACACACACACACACGCACACACACACACAAACATCGTCCCTCCCTTAGCCCCTCCCTCTTGATTTAGTGGCTGACCGTTACGAGGGCGAGGCAGCATCGAGGTGGCCAGAGTTGGACCGGAAATTAGACGAATTTGCATTAAAAATAAAAGCCTAAAATATTTCGTAATATTGGTCATGTGTATGGAATCTGTTGAAGCTACTTTGTTTCACAAGTGAATTCCCTGGCAGAGGATGAAAAATACCTTTGCTGTTTATATTTATTTTTTAATGTACTCCTTTGTCTGTTGATGTGAAGACTTCCTTGAAATTGAGATGGTTGATATCAAGGAGTTTATCCTCACAGCAAAATGTCATGACAGTGTTGATACACTCTATATCCTTGTATGGAACATTTCTTGGAATAATGTGTATATATTATATACACATATAAACATAGTGTGGAATGTACATATACAGAAATACAAGCCAAGTGCTGACATTGGCCAGAGCCCTGTAAAAGCCAAGCGACTAAATGTTTTTTTTCTTTTGCCCGTCCCAAAAGTAAACCTGCATCTGGAAGTGTTAATTTTAGTGTTTGTGGCCTTTTCCTGACTTTTTATCTGTAAAGCCAAATGAGTGTATTTCCAAAATATTTCGCATATTTATTGATCTCTTTTAAGATGCAATAAAACTGTGAAGATTGTGTTAATTACTTAAGACGAAGTCCATGTTCTGAAGTTGAATATTTTCTCATAACCTGTGTCTTACATTTATTGTATTCTATTTATTTTGCAATGCTCAGAGTTCACGGAAGGGATATCTCATGTTAGGTAATCTCATATTATGACATATAACTTCAGTACAATATATTATTCACTGCGGCTCTATTAGGCCAATCAAAAAGCTGTGTACGTGTTCAACGGTGCTTTTAATTTGAAGGTCTTTACCGGAATTTCCGTATTCATTCTGCTTGACTTGACTCTGAGGAGAAATTAAATCGAATCTCTTACTCAACTTGCCCAATACACTTTGTGGCAGCAGCAGTTTGAGGAAGAAAACTTGGCAGATCTAGGAATTTACCGATAAATAATTCAAGAAAATACTTGAGTTCTTTAGTTTGATAGCCCAAGCTGTTGCATTATGGACCCCTCTAAGTCTGCGACCGCTCCTCCACCGGAATGGGCCGGTGAGAAGTCCACTATGGGCCATGTGCCCCCTCCACCCTACCAGGACTACCCGAACCCGGGGTACCCTCAGCCCGGCCAGGGGTACCCTCAGCCCGGCCAGGGATACCCTCAACCCGGCCAGGGATACCCACCACAGCAGCAGGTAAGAAGCCCAACACCGGGGATAAAATAAAAATAAAAAAGCGAATATTTTTATTGCAGATAATAAGATAATACTCCTCTCCCCATTAACCTGCTGAAGATGATAGCAAGCCAATGAGAACACATTTTAATGTTGGTATTTTCTAAAGAGTCCTCTTCATGTGTATGAATGATGTAAAATAGAAAAGAAAAAAAAAAAAAAAAAAAGTAATTTGAGCAACAAACGGATCATTCATAATATAATTATCCTCATAAGAGTCCTGGTGGCAGGGACTTTTAAGAACTCTGTCCTATGTTATCCCACTGAGCAAATGTACCTTAAAAATCTGTTACATTTGATCAAGGTTACTAAAGATTGGAAAAAGTGAAAGTTAAGAAGACGTCTTAGCCATAGACGGTCATCAGTCACACAATAATCGTCTATAATATGACTGTAGACTTATAACATTAGTTAATTCTCACTTTTAAACGTGTTCACCAGTGTTCAGCTTTAATCTACTTATTATCTACTTATATACTTAAAAGATGGAATGATGGCAAAAAAAAGGCCCTCTGAGGTTTGCTGGATGCCAGGTATTTTCCTTGACGGATCAGTGTTTACTGTCAATGAATTAACTTTGTTAAATGATTCATTACAGACGTCAATCGTATTAAGATGATAATGAAAGGAAATTCAGCCAAGGATTATCACAGTTTGAGCTTTAATATATATGGATGATCTAAATATCCAAGTTGAATTAATGTGATGTCTCTTTTCTTTTTTTCCCTGATTATAAAGACATCAGCTGAAGACCACCTCTTTGGTCACTAAAAGCACCAAACAAATCTGTTCAAGAAACGAGAATTTCACCAATGGGGCCTGCTATGGTTCAATTGTAGTTTCGTTTCTTGTTAAACCTCCCAGTTTACCGTAATTCACTACTCTCCCCTCCTCCCCCAAAACCTGTTTATATTGTCCCTGAAAGTGAGTTTGACTTGTGCTTCCGGGGTGTGGCCTGCAGGGCTATGGAGCTCCGCCGCAGTATGGAGGTGCTCTTGGGCAACAGCAGTACCCGGGAGGACAGCAAGCCACTGTCACAGTCCAGCCGACAGTGTACGTGACCCGAGGCCCGCTGGATCACCCTGTCAACGACTACTTGTGCTACTCCATCTTCACCCTGCTGTGCTGCTGCCTGCCACTTGGAATTGCTGCCCTCATCTACTCCATCTCAGTGAGTTTGATTCACATGTAATTACAGTAAATTGTTCATGTATACACAAAGCAAAATGTCCCCAAACCCAAGTAATTTAATTCTGACTATGTGCCAAAACAGAGCCCATGCTGCAGCTGAACCGTGCATGTTTCAAAAATACAATAAACTTATAATGAAGAATCCCTTTTCAGTAAAGAAAAACAGATGGCATCACACATTTCTGTCTTGTATTTCTGTATTGAAACATGTCTAATAATTCCAGTAGCGCTGATGTCTTTGTGTCTCCAGGTAATGACAGTGGATTAATGAGATTGATTTGAAATTTTAAAAAAGAAGAAAAGTAACCTCTACTCAGCTAAAGAATAGCTAGGTGAGCTTTCTATTTTGTCTGCCACAGCATGCATTATAGCTACAGACCAGAGGATGAGGAAAGAATTTAACATCTTGTCTAAGGTGATTATGTAAATAATTTATAGAGGACACAGGTCACGGCAGAATGCATTTGCATGTGAGCGGATGAGTGTGTGTGAGCCAAGTTTGGGAAAGTGAATGAGATTTACTGGAAGGGGTGGAGATCTGTGAGGAAGAGAGCAGAGAGAGGACTGGGAAGATAGTGTCAACAATAAAATGGAGAAGACATTTTGTGGTCCTGAATGTTGTATTAGGTGAGAAGTAGACTGGTCTCGGTTACGAATATAATTTGCTAACTTAAGGAGGTTAGCATTAAGCTATACATTACCTCCCTTTAGGAGTGATTCTTCAGTTTATTGGTAGTCCTGTCTTTTTGTTGGGTGAGGTAACTCAAAGGTTAGTGAGTTTGCTTTTGCACTGTGTCTCAGCACACTTCTTCGGGAGGAAAGGTTGACTGATTGTTTCCATATGGTCAATGTTTAGTCCTCACAGGGGAAAACATTCTTGTGTAACTTCCTACACAAATCTATAAACAAAACAAATTAAAAGCCAAATATAACATTTATTCAACCCTGAAATATTTAAATATATTTACTGAGAGCCTTACTTTCACATGGAAAGTGGACTTTCTTTGAAGCTTTAAATGTCCTTTGAAATGTCTTTTATGATGGAAAATGTCTCATGGGGTTTCGGCTTGTTTCCGTGCAACGTGTGGCATGAGGATTGTTTAATTATTAACGAGAGCAATGAAGTATACGGGTATATCATACACTGCAAAAAAAATCCATCTGACCAAGTCATTTGTGTGTATGCATTTTGTGTGTGTGTGCATGTGTGTGTGTGTGTGTGAGTGTGTGTATTTGTGTTACTGGGTGCGTGCAACTTGCGGTCGCATACCTTTTATAGCAGCAGCAGTTGTTTGACTTTATTTTAAGACTTACTCCACATTTAGTATTCTCTATTTACCTTGATGTTTGAAAGCAACGCACAGAATAGAGTCCCACATGTTGTTTCTACATTCTGTCCTCTGATCTTTAACAACAGATTTTGTTGTTCCATTATATTAGAGCTCAGACCTCTCCTGCTCTTTAGTGAACAATCTCTGTTTAATATGTACGCAGAGCAAAGTCCATTGAGGTCAGTTTATGGACAGTAGACCAGTTGACTGGTCCCAGTGTCTGCATCTCTAGAGACAGAATACCGCGACTGTGACAGTTATTCAGCCAGTATCCTTGTAAGGCTGTTACTGTAATGAACATGAACGTCAGCTCATAGAAAGTTACGCAAGATGATGTCAGCTTATGTTTTTGTTATTTATTGATCAACATGCATACCAGGACTGATATATCTGTGATAAGCTAAAGTCGCCTGAGCCCGATTAGCTAAACATTGTTTACATTTTGGAGGGTCTGTTAGCTGCGAGCAAATTACATTTGAGATAAAGTCAGAATTTGGTCATTATAAGGCCAGATCTGATATTATGAGGTTATATGTGTGATGTTTATCGTCGATGGACAAAAGCTCACCTAGCTGTTCTCACCCCTGGAAAGAGTTGGCTGATTTTGTTACAGCAGTATGTGTATAGGGTCAATGCATTCTGGTTAATGATTCTGAGAAGAAGAGATCTTGTCCGTCGCTTATGTGAAGACAACATTTACATTTGGGACTTTTTTGTAGATATTCTATATTTCTTAAAATAAGATATTGAAAAATGTATTAGCAGTCAGTACTGAAAGATTGTTTTTTTCATATTTTTGGAATTGAACTGAACCTTTAAGTTAAAAGACTGGCAAGTTCAAGCATCGTCCTCAAAAGCAGAACCTAGTGTTGATGTAAATTCAGCTTTAGCTCATAAAGCCTTGTGGAAAACCCCAGTATGTCTCAACCTGTGCTCCTATCCTGCAGAGTACATGCTTTTAGATTTAGCAATATCAGAAGTTCTAACATATTTCACAAGTATTATTCACGCCTTCCTGTCAAACAAAAATACACTTAGTCTTACAACAGTTTCTTTGATATATCTCAAACTTATCATCTATTACTTCAGATCTTATAACACTTCAAATGTATGAAATGATAAAGACCTTTGCAAGGGTCCACATGAAAAACAGGCCATGACCCCAGTATCTATTTCATGACAGTAAAATACAAATCGAATTATTCTTTCTTAACAGAACCGCGTCAGATCAACACTCTGACAAAACTCGCTTTTTGTGAGATTGTAGCGGCATGAATGAATAGCAGAGTCTCTCCAAAAAGACAGGGGAATGTTGAAATGTATGAAGTCATTTATGGTGCACATTGCTGTTAAGTTGAACATATATAATGTATTTTGTTACCACGGTAAACAAAATAGTGTGTTTTGGCAGTTCATTTGTATCAGATTTTGAAATGGCTGTGTCCATGTGGTTCCACTCATTTAATGTACAGTGAAGAAGTAGTAGACATACAGTAACTTAATTAGATTATCCGTAGGCGGTCTGGAACAAGAACAGAAACAATACTAAGCTGTGTACATATTGTAGGAACTTGGCTGGTATGTACCCAGCTGTAACAGATTGTAGTTTCCATGATACGTTTACACGCCTCATTCTGGCTCTCAGTAGATAAGAAAATAGAATTTTATTTATCCCAATGTTGAGGAGACAGTGGTTGCAGGGTGCGTGTAATGACCTCTTCTGCTTAAACTTTCCACTAACTTTGAGGTGGCAAGAGTCTACAGCCATGCTAGCCACTTCGTGAGATTGCACTATAGCTTTGAGCTAAATGCTAACATGATCACAATAGCAATATAGAGTCATTAGTTTTATGCTTATTTGGTTTTTGGTCTAAAATGTTGGCCCGATGACGGCACGAATTATTTTTATTTTGTATTTATCATTGAGGTACCATTAAGGTCCCTGCAAAATTGAATGGCAGTCCATCTGAAGGTTGTTGACATATTCCAGTCCAGACTAAAGTGGTGCACAGACGACAGACCGATATTGGCCTCCCTGGAGCAACTTGCTAGCGTGACTAAAAACATAAAGCCGAGGTTATCAGCCGTTTAATTGCCAAAGTATGTTGCACATACAAGGAATTTGACATGGTGGATGGTGCATAACATTAAACAATCAAAACAGTGCAAAATACAAGACATGATTTAAAAATAGAAACTTACAATAAAATATAAAAATATGGTAAATAAACAAACAGATAAGAGTATATTAAAACAAGTATATTATTAAAGTGTCATGTGTATATTAATAGGGAAAGGAGCGCAAGGGTGTTTGAGAAGAAATTGTCCTGGGGATGTAAGTGTCAGAGTCAGTGGGGGTCCCGGGCTTTGTTAATGAGTCCAACTGAAGACGGGAAGAAACTGTTCTTATGGCGTGAGGTCTTGGTCCTGATGGACCGCAGCCTCCCGCCAGGTGGCAGGGGCTCGAACAGTTTATGTCCAGGATGACAGGGGTCGGCTACAATCCTTCTTGCTCAATTCAGGGTCCTTGAAGCAAACAAGTCCTGGAGGGACGGCAGATTGCAGCCAATCACCCTCTCAGCAGAGCGAATGATGCGCTGCAGTCTGCTCTTGTCCTTGGTAGTGGCTGCAGCGTAGACTGTGATGGAGGAGCAGAGGATGGACTCAATGACTGTGTAGAAGTGCACCAACATTGTCTTTGGCATATTGAACTTCTTCAGCTGCCTCAGGAAGGCTCTGCTGAGCCTTCTTGGTCACGGAGCTGATCTTAAGCTCCCACTTGAGGTCCTGGGTTATGATGGAGCCCAGGAAGAGGAAGGACTCCACAGCGTCTACGGGGGAGTCACACAGGGTGATAGGCGCAGGTGTGGCGGCTTTGCGGGGGTTCTGACTTCTAAACAGCCTGTTGATGTCTCTCTCCAGAATAGAGGGAGTCGACACTGGGAGGGGGGGGGGGGGGGTACACTAGGATAGGTGTTACAGAGGCATGGGCCCTGCTGAGTTGGGGGAGGGGGACCTGGTGGTCTGGAGCTGGTTGATGGAGCCATGGGGGATGGGGTCACTGTCCCATTATCTTTCAAAGCAACAGTAGAAGTCGTTCAGCTCATCTGCCAGGCGTAGGTCATTCATGGAGTGGGGGACTTAAGGTTTGTAGTTGGTGATAAGTATGTATGTAAGTAAAGGAAAATCTGTTACATTCTGCCATTTCGGTGTGTTGTTCAAATGGTTTGAAGCCCGGTAGTGTAGTTCTCTGACCTTTAGTTGTAACGTCATAACGATCCAACATAGAATTTGCACAATGCTTCATTCATTTTGCTTATTCTAAAAATATTTGGCAACACAGTTTAACAATAAGCTGCCATTGGAAGGAAGTTGATCCACAAATTTTGCCGTAATAACAGCATTTCAAGGTGGGGCTTAAGTAATTAACTACAACAGTTGTGTGGGGGCATTAATGATGTTTGGAGAGGGCGTCTTTGTTTCAGTGTGAGCGTTTGTCCTCAGTATGTGGACACACAGCTGCACAAACACAAATACCAATAATCCCGGTTTCCCACCGGTATTTCTCAGTGAGAAAAGTTTAAAAAAATGTTTTTAATGTTTATTCTAATACAAGGATCTCAATAAACAATCTTCAACCATGGAGGGA